AGCGAGGCGCATCACCTGTTTTATTCTCCGGTGATGCACCCCCAAAGTTCCACTATCTCCGCTCCGCTCCGGCACGAACTCCACAGCAAAAACGGACCCGTTGTAGTCGGCCGGCGAGCAGCGGCACTCCACTGTTTTTGCGGTCGGTAGATCTTTTAGAACTGCAGTTCAAAGTTAACTCATAAGGTGAATATACATGAAGGCATGTAGCAGTTTTTCTTTAGGATTGAGAGGAGATGCAGGAAGATAATAAACAGGCAGGACAGAAAAATAGTCAAACAAAAACAAATTAGTTTTTGTACCTGGTGGTTGCAACACACAGACACCACTGAAGGTAATCAGAAGTGAGGAACAGAAAATGAAATAATTATTTTAATGTTTAGAGCAGCAGGAACTCCGAGAGGCTGCAGGTGCATCAGTGAGTTTGCGGCTGCTGCGCAGGGGGAGGTGGGAGAGGGCTGAAGTAGGATGCAGAAAGTACCACTGTTAAGAGATGTGTTAACTTAGAAAATGTGGGCGCAATTTTAATTGTCAAAAACTCCAGCGAACCTACAGACGACCCCCCCACCCCACCCCCCCGCTTCAGGTGTATGGCGTCATCAACGACTAGTCGAAGTCGACTCGATTTTCATTACTTGACTGTCGACTTAAAAAAAAATAAGTCATGCAACCCCTAGCATCCTGAGCACGGCCACAGTAACATTGTCAAAGTCTCGCCACCTCAAACACAAAATTAACACGCAATTGTTCATGTCGGCTCATATCCTTTCATGCCTTCTGTCTTTTATTTGTGTCTGATGCGATTCGCTGCTGTGGAGTGAGTGCATCACCTGTTTCATCCTCTATGACTTCATTGGACTGGTGCGGCCAGCGCGCACTCCGCTATTTTTGCGGTCGGCAGATCTTTTAGAACTGCAGTTCAAAGGTAACCCATGAGGTGAAAATATGAAGCCAGGTAGCAGTTTTTCTTCAGGACTGAGAGGAGATGCAGGAAGATAATAAACAGACGGGGCAGAAAAATAGTCAAATAAAAACAAGTTAGTTTTTGTACCTGGTGGTTGCAACAAACAGACACCATTGAAGGTAATCAGAAGTGAGGAACAGAAAATGAAATAATTATTTTAATGTTTGGAGGCTGCAGGCGCATCAGTGAGTTTGCGGCCGCTGCACAGGGGGAGAGGGCTGAAGCTGGCGTTGTTGAAAGAAATGTGTGTTAACTTTGAAAATGCGGTATTATTGTTAACTTTTTTCTCCAACATTAAGACTGCTGCACAAAAAAAAAAAAAAAAAAAAGACTGCTACCCGCGTGGGCCTCCTTGTGGCTGTGGGTCCCTGGGCTTGTGCCCAGTTTGCCCATATTATAATCCGGTCTTGATGGCAGATGACGGAGAAGCAGACAGCGAGGGACTGGTTAGCAGATCTGCCAAAAAGAAGAGGATCCATGTGTCTCAGAAGTTTTTGCCTAATTATCAAGAACAGTAGCCATGTTGCGACCCTCTAAACTACCTACACCACGCATTTTGCACATTGTGCAATTATGATAAGCCACCAGGGAGCTGCAGGTAACGCATAAATTAGCCCCGGAGATGTGTGAAAATGTGCTTTAGGCCCATTTAATATTACATTCTTGAAAACAGAAACACCTATTGAAATATACAAATAATTACCATTAAATAAATATTAAAATGTTCTGTTCATTAATTTTGAATAAGTATTGAAATAATTCAATACAAGTAATTATAGCTATCAGCTTGTATAAGCGCACATGTAGGGAAAGCAAGGGCAACTTTTGAGTTTTACTGTTTAATATTAAAATACATGATATTTTAGAGTCAGGTCAAACTGTAAAAATGTCTATAACCTTACTAGTCAAAATAAGAACTATGAACAAGTATGTGTGTGTGTGTTTTGCAGACTGTCGACAACATGTGGAGGGCAAAAACATTTAAAGATTGTTGACAAATAGGTGTAGCTATTGTTTTGTACCTGCGAAAGATTGTCCAGTTTCCAGTGAAAAAACACAAATGTTATTGCACCACATATACCTCCATATATTTCTCCCTTTTGGCAAACTTCTTGCTTGTGAGAAAGCGTGCTCTCTGGAGGGAACACATATACTGTGAGCACACTAATCTGATTCTTGAAGGAGATCCTTCTGGAGCTATACTATAATTTGGGTGTATGTTTGTGGAGCGACAAACTTCATGAATCAGATTCCCATTCATAGTCTCTTTTACAATACAAGAATCTCCTCAGAACCTCATCTGCTCCCAGATCATATATTGCCCGTTTACCCAAACTGAATGACAGCTCAGAAGAGGCTGCGCTCTCAGACATTTCCAAACAAAACTAACTTAAATGACTCTTTAAATGTAAAATGTAAAACAACAACCCCATACTGGATCATATTCAATTTTATGTAGTACCATTTTTATTTATTTCTGACAGGACCCTCTCCTCTGTTCCGACCATGTTTACAACTTCTGTACAGTGTTTGGTTCTCCTGCACTTTGGCAGCCAGTGCCTCGATTTTGCTGTTAATAAAGTATTTTTCTTTTTTCCAGGAAAAATGCAGGGATTCCTTCCATGTTATCAGGACGTAGTGTGACTTAATATGCTTAATCAAGGTTGTTTCTAGCTTTAAATGATTGTGAATGGACAAGAGAACTTGGGGGCGCCCAGGTGAGATTTATGAACGGATGATTGCGGAGGAACATGCTGCGTACAAAAGGCCACCACATGTTTAAATTTCATTCATAGGAAGGAATAAAATAATTTTTCTACGAACCTTTGATGAATGAGGCCCCAGGATTTTGCAGTTAGGTCTATTAATAAAATCAAAACCTTGGCCCATGGAACGTCACCTCTCCAATGAGGCGCCTGAGTTGGTGTGCAAGGTTGAGGTGAGTCCGACTAGATATAGTTGGACTCACCTCAACGCATGGATCCGTCTCTGAAACCAGTTTCCTTGAGAGGGATTGGATACTCTACCACTAGTTGCTCCTACTGAGAGGCATCGAGCAGGGGTGGGCATACTAGTTTCCCCAATCTTGGTGCCTGTATGTTGGGGTTTACCCCTGTGAATGAGAGGGTAACCTCCCTCCGCGTCTGTGTGTGTGTGTGTGTGTGTGTGTGTGTGTGGGGGGGGGGGGGGGGGGGACGTCCTGACTGTGGTTTGTGCTTATGCACCAAACTACCAGTCGATCTACATTTCTACCCTCACCTAGGGTCATGAGGTTTTGGTGGTGACAGAGAAAACGAGGTTGCGGATACAAGCGGCCAAAATGAGTTTTCTCTGCAGGGTGTCTAGGCTCTTTCATAAAGATAGGGTCAGAAGCACAGTCATCTGAGAGGGGCTCGGAGTAGATCCGCTGTGCCTCCACATCAAGAGCAGCCAGTTGAGTTGGCTCGGGCATCCGATTAGGGTGCCTCCTGGACGCCTCCCTGGTGAGGTTTTCCGGGCACGTCCAACTGAGAGGAGATCTAAAGGGAGGTCCAGGACACGTTGGAGGGACTATGTCTCTCTGCTGGCCAGGGAAAACCTTGGGATTCCCCTAGCACAGCTGGCCAAGGTGGCTGGGAAGAGGGAAGCAGTAGCTCAGGTGGTAGAGCGGGTTGCCTCATGATTGGAGGGTCATGGGTTCGATTCCAGCTTCCGCCAGTGGCATCCTGCTGTTGTGTCCTTGGGCAAGACACTTCACCCAACTTGTCTGTGTTAGAGGTGGTCAGAGGGGCTGATGGCGCCAAATGGCAGCCTCGCCTCTGTCAGACCTCCCCAGGGCGGCTGCGGCTACAAGTAGCTTACCATCACTAGCAGCGTGTGAATGTGAGAGTGTGTGAAAGCGTCTTTGGGTGTCTAGAAAAGCGCTATATAAGTTCAATGCATTATTATTATTATTATTATTATTAAGTCTGGGCCTCTCCACTTAGGCTATTGCCCCCGCAACCTGACTCCAGATAAGCAGAAGAAAACTGTTCACCATTTGGCTTGAAATCTCTTAAACATACCAGTTTGCAGATATTCCGTTGTAGTTATTGTGTAGTGTGTATTTAACTCACTCAAAATTAAATGGTGATCTTTGTATCAGAAAACCAACAGTTTTTCTGTATGGGACTATATTGTCATGTTCAGTAAAGCCGGGCGTACACTGTGCAACTTTTTTCACTCGTAGCACTCAGCTTCAGCTCAAACTGTACGACTTCCTCGCAGGGCAGATCTCACGAGTCATGCGCTCACACTGTACGACCCAGTTCTCGGATGCGACCTGACTGCTCACACTGTACGTCTGGTAGCAACACGTCGGCCCTAAAAATATGCTAAAAATAGCAGTTTTTACACAACACGTCAGACTTTTTTGTCTTGTTTTGCCTGTTGTCCTTTGGGAGTGCTGCAGGAGGACACACAGGGATTTATGGGGGCTGGATGAGGAAACGAAATAAAGAAAGTAAATCTGTGTTTTGTGATCAGTTTAATTTGACAGGAACATGACAAACACGCTTTCTTGACAATCTTTGTGAGTAAAAAAACGTGTACAAATAAAAACGAACAGCGTGTGTTATTAGGGAAATAGCGGGGGAGCGGTGTTGATGCAGGATTGCGCATGCGCCGTGAGCCGTTCTGATACTTTTTGGGTCGCAGCTGCTCGCAGCGCCGCTTCAACAGTGCGATACCCTCACGAGGGACGAGCAAAATTTCAAACACGCCAGAAGTTTGTGCGAGCTCACGATTGCTGATCGGTAGCTGGTCACGTGGTGTTAATCGCCTCTCGCAACCCCCTGTACACTACACGACGCTCAGCGCAAAACTCGCCCCGATCTCGTGGATCCTCGCACGAGTGGAAAATCGGCTCAAAAAGGTGAAAAAGTCGCACAGTTTACTCCCGGCTTAAGAGCGCAGAACTTTGATCTGATGTAATTTTATTGACCAAATTTAAACATAATAAAATTCTTGGTTAGCAACATATGGGAATTTAATAATTCACCCACCAATGGAGTCCACACAAAAAAAGTTAGTGTAAAGATTTATTAAACAAGTGAAGATTACAGTTGGAGTTGATTTGAAGGTAGATAAAGCTGAAGAATAATTGGAGAAGGTTTGATATTAACTGAATGTTTTTTGTAATAAAATCATGTTTATTCATCAGACAGAAACTTATTTACAGACGTGATGCAGCATATGAAGACATGTGAAGACCATGTGTGATGTAGGGATGAGGAACTTCACCAATTCGAACCAGTGATTGGCTCATGACGTTAGCAATGCAACTACACTGGTAACTTTGGTGTCCATCGGATACAACTGACTGCTAAATCGCAGCGTATCTTTCCGTGCGTGTCTCTTGTCAGTAAAAAACATGGCTACATTGATTACTTCATAGTTTAGCTGCTATGTCCTTGGTTATTTTGAGACACATGGAATGCACCATCAGTATGTTTTAGCCAGGTGGTGCCAGCCGCATTAGAAAAACAAACTATTGTCAGACATATTAAAAGACAAGCTTCCTGTCCATGCGATGTTTTGCATTTTGCAGAAAATCACATTCTTTCTTCTTATTATTATTGGTTCAACAGTATTCTAGCAAAAAAAATATGTACAAATGTAAATGTCACTGATGAGGGGCTTTTTTCTTTTCACGTTGAACTTATTGATGACTCAAAAACAATAGAGGATCAAACATATTCTTCACAGAGAAAGAAAGACGGAAAAATTATTGTGATGATGTTTTAAAACCAGATGTGGGCTTGTTTCAAATCACATAATGAATTTTATCAAATCAAAAAATGTTGTCAAATTAATAACCAGCATGCATGAAGCATATCGAATTCAATTTTCATCCAGTTGCACTGTTTCGTTAATGTGTCGTATATCGCTGGTAGTGTGTAGAGATGAATCGGTTTTAATGGTGCGGGATTCACCACCACTGTATGCTCTGGTTTTAGCATTCATTTTATTGTGAAGTTTTATTTATTTTTTTGCCATGGATGAGACAACAACTATTTCAAATGTACATCTAGCAGAGCAATGACTTTGTAACAGCTATTTAAAGGTTTATAAAAATGTTTACAGTTTAATTATTAAATGCAATTAAAGTCATACATAACATTTTATAGTGATACTAAAAGATTGAATTTGAGATAAAACGTGCCACATTAAAAGGTAATTTAATGTATTCATGTCAAGGACTAGGATGTTGAAATCCACATGTTAGTAGTGGTAAAAAGCATTTCTATTCAGATTTAACGTCTGACGTTCTCACAGGAGATGAAGACAGTTTCTCTTCCATTTGCCTCTTCTTCTGCTTCTTTGCTGAGAGACAGATCCAGAGGAAGATAAAGAAACCTTGGCAGAAAGACAGAACAGTGAGTTGAATCATGATCTGATTTAAAAGTTATAAATCATTATTTTAATAGGAATAGTACACTGCCCAACCCATAGAAAATTGCAACCTAAAAAAAGGTCACACACTCTCACTATTTAGTTGAACCTCCTTTAGCTTTGACTACAGCACAAATTTGCTGTGGCATTTTTCTGAGTTAAAAAATGCTCATGAAATACGTATGTGGAGTAACCAGGTAGGTAAGTTTTAACTGTTGCAAAACTGCAACGTTTGCCTCCAGAGGGTTAAGGTCTTGACTCTGTGGTGGCCAAACCATGTGTGAAAATGATGTCTCATGCTCCCTGAACCACTCTTTCACTATCTGAGCCTGATGAATCCTGGTATTGTCATCTTGGAATATGCTCGTTTCATCAGGGAAGATGGAATAACCTGGTCATTCAGGATACCCAGGTAGTCAGCTGACCTCGTGCTTGGAAGAGAAACTGTCTTCATCTCCTGTGAGAGCATCCTGTAGCTGAACCTAGACCTGACCAACTGCAGCAAGCCCAGATCATAACACTGCCCCCACAGGCTTGTGCAGTAGGCACAAGGAATGATGGGTGCATCACTTAATCTGCTTCTTTTCTGACCCTGATGCACCTGGACTCATCAGACCAGTTTTTAATAATGTGTTGGACAGTTCTTAACCCAGTTTTAGTCGTTTCTGTAATCCCTTAGATGTTTTCTCTGCTTGATGCCAATGATCTGACCCTTCTCAAACAGACTAGCATCTTTTCTACGACCGCCAGATGTGTCTTTCCACATGGTTGTTTAAGAATTGAGAAGAAACTCATTGCAACAGTTGGGGTTAGTTAACTTGTTGCCAGCTGAAACATAATTGCGTATGCAGTAATTATCCAATAGGAGGCGTGTACCTATTTGCTTAGTTAAATCCAGGTGGTGACTAGAGTTTTGGCCGGGCAGTGTAATATTGCCATTTTTTATGTGAATATATAGTCTGGCCATGACCAACGTATAGATCTCAGTCGTGGGGTGTGTTATGGTCCATGCATTTTTAGCTCTTCTGCCTCCTATTTAACCTGCGGCTTGCGTACCCACAATACAGCCTTCAGCACCAGGAACAGCTCCCGAGCGACTCCCTCTGCCCAACCCTCAGTTTAGGACCTCGGGGAGAGGTACGCCAGCTGCAGCCAAACCCAATCTGCCATCATCCTCACCTGAGGACAAGTCTGAAGCCAGTCTTCATTTGAGGAGACACAGAGCTAGTCTGTGATTCTCCAGTGTGGTGTGTGGTTTCCCTAAGGTTCAACTGCTAGTTGGTGTAAAGACTTGTTGTTGCTGTGAATCTCTAGTCCTTTCTTCAGATTTATTCGGTGTTTCCCCAGAGGACTTTTAGTTAAGAGATTTTGTTTTGTTGTGGTGCTGACCTTTGAGTTAACTGAGCTGTAGGCCTCTGTAGAGTTTTAGTTTTCAAGCTTTAGTTATTTTAGTTTACAGATATTTCGTTTGTTTTACCATCTGGTTTTACTCCCTGGTATTAGAACAGGGAGTCACTTTATGTTAGTCCCTTTTTGTTTTGCTGTTTACTTTGTAAATATCTAAGACAAGTCAAAATGGGAATGTAGAATGAATGAATGTCAAAGAAGAATTAAACCACAACTGACACCTTGTAAGGAGTTGAGGATGCAGAAAAGATAGAGGATGGGATAGTTGACATATCCAGATCCCAGGAAGGCCAGGCCCCAAGAGGTTCCCATCAGGCAGGTAAGTCCCAGTAAAGTCAGGCCACTCTTGCAGGATGCACTGAACCTCTGTGGGACTCCCATTAATTTTCCTTTAGCTTTAGCTCTCAGCATTGAGTTACTCTTTATTGCTTGTTTCATTTTACAGAAACTGGAAGCCACTGCCATCAGTATGCCAAAGTTAAAGACGAATATAAGTGTGAAATAAACAAGGTTCAATGAGTAAAAGAAGGAGTCATCTGTGATCCAGCAGCTGTAACATAAGACAGAAAATAGTCCTTAACATGGCAAACAGAAAACGTAACAAAAAGATCAGAATTAATAATCACGCAGCATGGAAAACAAAGATTAGAAGAAAACTATGACATCATCAGTGTCGACCAATCATCTTCAATCCTGGTGCTTGAGGGTCACTATCCTGCATACTTTAGATGTTTCTCTGCTCATTTGAATGGATGGATGGTTAACAAGTTTTTGCACAACTTGAGGAAATGCTGAAAAGATGACTCAACCATTTATCAGGAAAACTGCTGTTACTGACTTTGTAGGATCTGACTCTGAATGAAAAGAAAGTGGGATGTTAGTGGAGAGTGTGACTTATATTCTGCCCTGATGAAGAACAGGTCTAGGGTGAAGTAAACCCACGTGTGGGAAATAAGGGGCTATGACACTGAGTAATCTGAAAAATGCTAAATCTAAACAACAAAGCATACAGATGAGGGGGAAAACTGTTGGAGCCATTCCTCTAATACAGCGGTTCTCAATCCTGGTCCTGGAGGACCAGTATCCAGCAGTTTTAGATTCAGCTCTGTTTCAACACAACTGATTTCAATCAGCAGGTGATTAACAGGCATCTGCAGAGCTTGATGAGCTACTGCTCAGATGTTTCAACCACTGAGTGTGTTGAAGCAGAGAAACAACTAAAACGTGCTGGATACCGGCCCTCCAGGACCAGGACTGCTGCTCTAATAAATGAGAAACAAAATCTCCATGGTTATTGAAATGACTTGATTAACGTTTGTTTTAGGCTAAACATATTACTACTGCTCTATACACATGAATTAGCACATCAATGCAGAGTGTCATGGAGGGCATTAGGCCAAGGCTCTCCTGATTTGCAATGAGTGTAACAAGAAATGGACATTTGCAGTTCTTGTTTGAGTGTAGAGATTTTTAATGCCCTGACTCCAGCCTCAGTCCACTTCCTGTGAACTGCCTCAATTTCCTAAATGGTTTTAGCTTAACAATCATCTCAAGGCTACAACTCTCCACGCCTTTTCTTTCTTCATAACTTTCTATGAACATGCTTGGAAGCAGCACTCTATGGACATTTAGTGGCTTACACTCTTTGTGGACAGAATCTGACTGTCTCCTGGACATCCATCCAGTCGGCAGTCTTCCCCATGATTGTGCATCCAACCGACCCAGACTGAGACCACTGAGGCTCACCGTTGCAGGTGTTTGGAGTTAGCTGGTTAGGGTGTGACACCTCAAGTTTCCATTATTTAGTGTTTTCCACAATTTTCTAATTTGTGAAACTATGAATTTTGGGTTTTCTTAATCTGGAGCTATAGTCACCAAAATGACAAGAAATAGAGGCTTGAAATATTTCACTAATTGTAATGAAACTGAGTTTTAAAAGTGAGTATAAATATTGAGCCATTTTAGGATATTCTAATAGTTTCAGATGTTCCTTTATTTTCTATTGATCACAGTTCAGAAGTAATGTATAATTTCCACTGGTTGATTTCTAGTGATTCTTCATTTATTTTAACTTTTGTTTCAAGTTATGTCAAATTATGTTTATTTTTTAAAAATACAGGGTACACAGGCCAGACAAAAGCCAAAACTATTGAACACCAAACCCAAACACAGTCACATAAATAAGAAAACAATATTTTAAAGTACCATGAAAACAATGACATTGATCCATATGAAGAAAGATAATTTCATGTTCCCTGTTTGATAGATTAAAACAATGTTCACAATGCTTACAGGTTCGACAGAAACCATTGTAATTTACTTACATTTCATTGGTCGTGTTAGTATCAGACATGATCAGCTGTGTAACTCCATAAAACTGTTTAAAATCTTTCACTCCCAAAGAGGTTGCAACAATTACACCAGGGATGCCTAAGAATCAAACACACACCGCAGTGAAATTCAATTGTTGAAACAAAAATACCGTAAATCCTCTAATACAGTCCCGGGCCTGTATTTTACTCAGGCTCATCAAGCTCCAGGCCTTTATTGGAAGGAGGGCCAGAATTAGAGGCAGGCCTCAATTTCTATTTGAGTTTGGTTGGTTCGCTGGAATTTTTGACAATTAAAAGTGCGCCCACATTTTCAAAGTTAAACACATTTCTTTTAACAACGGTAGTTTCTGCTTCAGCCCTCTCCCTCTCCCCCTGCGCAGCGGCCGCAAACTCACTGATGCGCCTGCAGCCTCTCGGAGTTCCTGTTGCTCTAAACATTAAAATAATTATTTCATTTTCTGTTCCTCACTTCTGATTACCTTCAATGGTGTCTGTTTGTTGCAACCACCAGGTACAGAAACTAACTTGTTTTTATTTGACTATTTTTCTGTCCTGCCTGTTTATTATCTTCCTGCATCTCCTCTCAGTCCTAAAGAAAAACTGCTACCTGGGTTCATATATATTCACCTTATGAGTTACCTTTGAACTGCAGTTCTAAAAGATCTACCGACCGCAAAAACAGCGGAGGGCACGCTGCGCGCCGGCGTACCGGTGACTTGCGTCACCGGAGGACAAGGTGGTGCGCCCTGATCCACAGCAGCGAAACGCATCAGGCACAAATAAAAGACAGAAAACATAAAAGGAAATGAGCCGACATGAACGATTGCGTGTTAAATTAGTTTTTGAGGTGGTGACACCTGATTTGATACTGTTACTGTGGCCGTGCTCAGGACGCAGATGTCTGGAGCGCGTCAACAATCAGAGCTTTGCATGCGCAAGCTGGTTAAGGTTAGGATGGGGGTGAGGGGAAGGTTAAATTGCAAGAGGGTAAACGTCACAATTTGGTTAAATGTCCGTTTTACGGCGGGTGTCAGTACTGACGCTCTGGCACAGCGCGTTGCCGCCTGACGCGCAGGAGCTTGTCACCTGCTGACAGCAGGCTGCTGTCTTTTCCGAGGACTGCATCTTGCCGGTCATTATCACGGGACAGCGACTAGCCGATGACAGGCATAAAAAGTCACTATAGAGCGGTGAAGTCGACTAGTGACTAGTTCATACAACCCCTACTGCTCCCCAGAGTGTTCTGCAGCATAATCAGCACGTTCTCTTTGAACTTGATATCAAATTTTCGCCTCCTCTTCGTCTCCGCACGGTTAAAGTTACCCTCGCGGTCTATCACTGGCAAATCAAAAGTGAGATGGATGACACAGCCGCATCCCACCCCCCACCCCCGTGGTACTTGCTTGTTACCACATTCCACCCAGCCACAATAAAAAACCGGCCATTATTCACCTCCGCCGACTCAGACACCGGCCAAAATGTGATACCCGGCCGTTAATTGAATACAGGCCAATATTAGAGGATTTACGGTAACACAACAAGCTTTTGTTTTTGTAAACCAAATAATGAAATGTGCTGCATGATAGGTATTTTTAATTGTTCATCTTTGTTGTGAAATCTTTTCCTTTGTCTATGTGAAGAGTTCATTCACCCTTGCTGCTTAAATGTTGTTAGGAAAAACCCTGACCTAGTTACTTGTTTACGTTTGGGTGTTTTCAGAAACTCCTTTCGGCTTGAGGTGTTTCGAGGTGTTTTTCCATTAGTTAAAGCAAACTGGTCAGACAGGGGTTTCACCTATTTGTGGGTGTGTATGTGTTCAATAAAAGCTCTGCGCAAGCTTTGGCTGATTGTGAGAGGAAAATGGCTTCCGTGTTGTATGGTCTGATTCTTTCTCACCCTTTGCAAAGTGTCACACTTTGCAGAGTCTGTTGACTGTTGAAAGGTTTGTTACAATTTACCAAATTAAGAATCTAATCCCTCTGTGTGTGTGTGCTCTGACTTCCTTTAAGGTAATATAAGAACAATATAAATTAAATTACCTAACACTGCATACTTTTGTAGTTAATTTTTTATATTTTAATTTAGCTGAAGGAACGTTTAATTCAGCAATGAAGCTCTGAAAGTAATGGTCAGTATACTTTCCACCCTTATGGTACACTAAATAGAATAATGAACTCATTGTGCTGATAATAGGTTCAGTTGGAATATTTACTTTGTGAAGTGCCTTGAGATGACTCTTTCCGTGAATTGACATGATGTAAATAAACTGAATTCAAACAAATTAAAGGGAAGAATAAGAGTTTATATTGTTTATATGAATGAATCATACTCTATTTCTGAGAGCCAGCAGGTTACATACACTGGTAGAACTTCCTTCTCCAGAATAAGATCCCTCTGACTGCTCTTTGCAGAAGGCAGGAACTGACCCCTCCAAACTGAGATCCTTTAGATAAATAATAAAAATGCACCACTCACCCCATCCAGCAAGTGACAGCTTAAGCAGGTAGTGTTTGTAGTAAGTGTTGAAGACCCTTATCAGCAGAAGATAGAGGTGAAGAGCTTCTATAGCCATCCAGGTGAAACAGCAGAGCAGGGAATAATGCATGAATGCTGCTACACATTCACACACCCATCCTAGACTGACTCTGGCCCCCCACTCCGTCAGCAGGAAAGTAGAGTTGAGCAGGAACAAGGCCCCGCTCAGAGACACATGAATAGTGATGGAATAATCCAGTTTATTGTTTCTACGAAAGGGAAGATTCAAACAAAGATGAAAGTCTACACTTGTTCATTTTCACCAAGGGGATTAAAACAATCATTTAAACTCGTCAATTTGTTTGTTTCTAATAGTTGTGATAAAATCTCAACATGATTTGTATTGTTGCATAAAAACCACCATTGTGACTGAGTTATTAGTCTACCTCACACACACACACACACACACACACACACACACACACACACACACACACACACACACACACACACACACACACACACACACACACACACACACACACACACACACACTAACTGGATGCTTGTGTCTGCTGCTACATTACAGATAAAGCGGACATTTAACTTTTTTTCCTAACATTTCTTGCGTTAGTGTAACTGGGTTATGGATTCTCGTTTCCTAAATAGAAGAGCTAAAAATAATAAAGACTTAATAAACTTTTGTGTCAACGAAAAGTCAAATTCATTTTTGTGAAAAAAAATCACAATACAGAAGAAGGACTTAAATGCACCGTATCAGGACGTGATACTGACGAGCACATACTTACCGACTAAAGAGGAAGGTCACAAGAGACAAGGCACTGAAGAACGCTGACAGGCCACAGCCTATGTAACTGATGTATGACAGTATTTCCCAATGAACCTTTGCAATCGGTTCTCTTATCTGTGGAAGGTAATAGGGAATTAATCATTTGCCAGCAACTGATTTACTTTTTAAAACAATTAGAGGAAGTAAGATAATTCAACTGGTGGACTGTGGCTCCCAGACTTCAGCCTTCAGAGCTTCAGCCTCTCATCCACCAGCAAACCTCAAAAGAGGTAAACGGCCTGTGTTTAATATAGCACCTTCTAGAATCCTAGAACCACTCAAAGTGCTTTCAAACTTAATCAGTCATTTGCCCATGCACACACACATTCATACACTGGTAGTGATGAGCTACAATGAAGCCACAGCCGCCCTGGGAGCACTGACAGAGGCGAGGCTGCCAGACATTGTCACCACCGATCTCTGCAAAAACCACCAGCAGGCAAGGTGAGTAAAGTGTCTTGCCCAAGAACACCACCGCAGCCCTCTGTGCCCAGAGCCGGGATTTATCCTACAACCCTCTGATTACTAGACAACCTGCTCTACCTCCTGAGCTACTGCTGGCTATGACTATGGTTTTTCAATAGTTTTATATTTATACAAATATGTTTATCAAGTTCTTTGCACCAAAAGGAATCTCAGCAGCTGTGTTCTTGACAGCTGTTGCACCTTACAGAATGAGCCATTTGTGGGCTCTGTCACTTTTAGAAAATAAGCTGACCACTCCCACCCATCCCCCACTCGAGCTGCTATAAGCTGAGCATCTCTGATAACTGGGAGGAACTGGAGTAGAGCGTCTGACAAGTGTGTGTGTGTGTGTGTGTGTGTGTGTGTGTGTGTGTGTGTGTGTGTGTGTGTGTGTGTGTGTGTGTGTGTGTGTGTGTGTGTGTGTGCACTTACTACACACTGAGAACCATTTTGACCATTTTCCCTACAATGTGAGGACACTTTTTAAAGTGAGGACGTTTTAGAAGCTTACCAGCTGGTTTTAGAAGTCTGGTGTGAATTAAGTTTTAGCGTTAGGAATAGATCAGCATTGGTTATGGTTGGGGTATGGGTTAGGCATAGCAGAATCACAAACATGAATGGAAGTCAATGGAGGGTTCTCACTATGATAGAAAGACAGACATGCGTGGACATAATTTTCACTTTAGATGTGGGGGGGACACGGGGGGGAATCTTTACAGTATGTTCTAATAGGAAACAGGCTTCAACACAAAAGTTTCTGCTTGGTCCTAGAGCTCAACCAGTGTCAATTTAATATAAAGTAATATTGCTTTTGGATGGTAAAAAGTGCAGGGGTCAAAACTTGACTTTGGAAAAAGTGGGGGGGCATGTCCTCCCTGCCCCCCCCCCCCCCCCCCCCCAAATTACGTCCATGCAGACATGTGTGTGTGGGGTGGGGGGGTGGGGGATGGGGGGTTCCATTTCCCTGTTTGTGATGTTAAAATAAGAGTATTTTTGAAACGACGTATTTTAGGCACAAAAAACATATAAAGACAGAAAATAGATGGATAGGTTTTTTCTAATTTAAAGTGCATCCCACATTTTGTTAAAGGGGACATTTTACTCAAAAATCTTTAACGTTGCCTCTAGTCTACTGCCTCCATAACCACTCCAAATGTGAAAACAACCCATCCACCTGTCGTGTCAGAGTTTGGTTTTAGGAATTGTGTGTTTGAAACCAGCTGTTTTAAAAGGTCCCTGTATGTGATGTCACAAAGGGGGAAAGTGGGGAAAAAAGCCACAAGCCATCAAGAACTGGTCCACTCTTCCAAAGTTACAACTAAATTGCTACAATCTTATTCTCATTGTTTTGAACCACCATGAATAGATGTTTTAAGTTTTTTTAAACAGCACAAATGTGATTTTAGCTAAACTGAGTGTGTCTTATTACCAGCAGGACAGCAAATGGTGTTGCATGATCACAGCTGCAAGTTATATTGCTTTGCTCAACTTGGGTCTGACAGCCATCTGGTTTCCATTTCCAGTCTGAAAATGACAACAAACAGACTTAGTCAAGGTTTGAAAATAAGTACAAGGCAAGTCGTTTAAATGGGAAAACCACCAACAACATAAAACATGAGGATAAAAGTGAAAACCCGAACCCACAACTCCCTTTGGAAAAGGGTTAGGGTCAATGTTTCCTCTATGAAACATACCTACCATTTTGATCAAAGTAGTGACACAGTAAGCGTAAGCTGTTCTGTGAAAACACAAAGATACATCAAGCTTACACAACACTTTACAATTCAAATGTAAAAAACTAGCTTTTCTGAAGGTTATTTTAGAAACACAGAAGAGGGGTGGGGATAAATGTTTATGTTAAAATGTACTGAATCAATAGAAATGAACAACAAGAGCATAAGAAGGTGGAACAAACTGCACCACATGGACCGTTTATGAGGAGCACAGACCTGTGTGTAATAAACATGCACCATAAAGTAAACAAGTAAACATTTCAAAGACACGAGAGATGGCTGAGTGAGACTGGTGTTGTGTGTTGCGGAAATCCACATTTCACGTTCTCAAATTAATTTGGGTTGGATTTATGAGAAGAAGGAAAACAAACTGTTTTTTCACACAAAACTTTTATTTCTCTGACCTGCAGTCATAATTTCCAAAATTCCTTTCCAGCACATCTGGTTTCAACTCCTACACTCAATCCCAGAGTCGTAGATTTCACTACGTGACATGTTTCTGTCCCGTACCGATCAGAGGACTCGGACAGTATCAGAAACAGACTTATTTCATATCAACCTGTCACGGCCTGACCCACCTAAAACCTCTCAGGGGTTTTTCTGGAAGTTTCCAGAATTTAGTCTTTATAAGCCCTTGTATTTGTGTTTATTATTCAAAGTTTCCGGTGCGGCTGAAGAGACACAAGCCAAGCCTCTGCAAAGGAACGTGGTTTTCCTCCTCCACACAGATGACCGTTGGCCAACTCGGGGGCCAAAATCCTTCGGTCCAGGAGAGAGGAGGCCCGGCTGTCTCAGTCCTGTGGCTACCCTCTGGCGATGAGGAAAAAGGTTTGTTAAATATGTTTCATTTGGCTGACTTTTCTTGCTAAAGCCCGATTTGTGAATTCAGACCCTCACATTTATGGCGTGTTTCATCTCGATCTAAATCCATGGTAACTTTTAGGATTTCTTCTCATTTGTCTGCTGCAACGAACTCTCATTTGCATGCACACACACACATGAACACACCCCCTTTTACATTACCACACCCCCTCAATCTCACACACACACACAAACACACACACACACTAGAGGTTGTATGACCTAGTCGACTTCACGGCTCTGTAGTGACTTTTTATGCCTGTCATCGACGCTGTCACGTGATAATGACTGACAAGATGCAGTCCCCAGAAAAGACAGCAAGTGATGAGCCCCTGCGTCAGGAGGCGGAGGCGACGCGCTGTGCCAGAGCGTCGGTACTGACACCGGTGGTAAAATGGACATTTAACCAAACTGTGACCTTTTCCCTCTTGCAATTTTACCTTCCCCTCACCCCCATCCTAATCTTAACCAGTTTGCGCATGCAAAGCTCTGATCGTTGACGCGCTCCAGACATCTGCGTCCTGAGCACCGCCAAATCAGGTGTCACCACCTCAAAAACAAATTAAACACGCGATCGTTCATGTCGGCTCATTTCCTTTAATGTTTTCTGTCTGTTATTTGTGCCTGATGCATTTCGCTGCTGCGGAGCGAGGCGCATCACCTGTTTTGTCCTCCGGTGACGCACCCCCAAAATTCCACTATCTCCGCTCCGCTCCGGCACGAACTCCACAACAAAAACGGTCCCATTGGAGTCGGCCGGCGAGCAGCGGCACTCCGCTGTTTTTGCGGTCGGTGGATCTTTTAGAACTGCAGTTCAAAGGTAACTCATAAGGTGAATATATATGAACCCAGGTAGCAGTTTTTCTTTAGGATTGAGAGGAGATGCAGGAAGATAATAAACAGACAGGACACAAAAATAGTCAAATAAAAACAAGTTAGTTTTTGTTCCTGGTGGTTGCAACAAACAGACACCATTGAAGCTAATCAGAAGTGAGGAACAGAAAATGAAATAATTATTTTAATGTTTAGAGCAGCAGGAAAGGCTGCAGGCGCATCAGTGAGTTTGCGGCTGCCGCGCAGGGGGAGGGGGGAGAGGACTGAAGTAGGATGCAGAAACTACCATTGTTAAAAGAAATGTGTTAACTTAGAAAATGTGGGCGCAATTTTAACTGTCAAAAACTCCAGCGAACCTACCGACCCCCCCCCCCCCCCCCGTGCCGCTTCAGGTGTATGACATCATCAACGACTAGTCGAAGTCGACTCGATTTTCATTACTTGATTGTCGACTTTAAAAAAAGTTAAGTCATGCAACCCCTAACACACACACGAACACGCCCCCTTTTACATTACCACAACCCCTCGATCTCACACACACACACACACACACACACACACACACACACACACACACACACACGTTCACATGAGCTCACACCACAATCCACTTTGTTCCCCATTTAAACTTATCCTTAATTCTACTATATTATTGTGTGTCACCTAATTTCCACTTTATTACAGGTCAGTTTGTTTCATATCACTGCCATAAAGCTTTGGGTTTATCCATCTTCCTAATTCCAGGCATGAAACTATAAATATATGTTTGGTTCATTTGTCATCTGTATTAACTGATCTTTTGTAATAACCTCACAATTAAAAGTCTGATCATTTCCAGCGATCTCGAGAACAAGTCAGCGCATTCTGGCAAGAATTCATCCTTTAGATAAATTTGTGGTGTTAACCCTCTGGAGGCAGGCGTTGCAGATTTGCAACGTTAAAACCTATCTACCTGGTTACTTCACATTCGTATTTCATGAGCATTTTTTAGCTCGGAAGTACCCGTGAAGGACTTAGTTGTTCGTCCTTTTATCAAAACTTGTTTTGAGCCTGAGAGGGTTAAGTTTAGACTGATCAACAGATCTGAATATCAAATTCAACAGTCCAGTTTTAACAAAACTGGTGGTGCCCCTATTAAACTAATATGAGGTGCTTAACAATTAAATAAGCTGAATCCACACATGTTGGAATATCTACACCGCATTTGAAATATAGATATAAATCTGTAAATCGCTACATGTGCCTGCGGGTCTCTCACTCGGTGTAACTCTCTCGCCTCTCTGCTGCATTAGTTGGGTGAATCAAGTCATCTTAATGCTAAAATCACATTTCAGTGCATCCCAGATTATAGCAATGGTTGTTTTCTGTGGAACTTTTAAAGTTGTGTCCCAGAACTCAGCGTTATTGTTGTGAAAGCTGGTTTGTGTTTATAAGTTTGGGCTTTTATCTTGAAAAGATTCTAAACTTGAACTGAATTAGAACAATCTAAACAAGCTTCTGGCTGTTTGTTGAAATGAGTTCTGGTTAGATTTACTACCAAACTGAAAATTTACTGGACAGGCATGAATGTAAAACATTAAATGATCATTAAATTAAATGAAAAGAAGTGAAAAGGCCCAGCTCGCATGACAGGCTTTTCAAAATAGGAGAGATGAAAACTCGAGACCCCACGCGTGGCGGACTCTGGCGGGCTGCACAGACAAGGGTCGTGGGTGCTAGTTGTGATATCACTATGGATAATGTCATTGAAAAATGTTTTTGTATAAAAGCTTTAAACGTTTCTAAAACATTACTGGAAGTAAATTAATTTTAGACCATTACCTGCTTTGTTTTTCTTCATCCAAATAGTCCCTCAGAGTGGATGTGAGGGAGCAGAAGGATGGTTCAATAGCCTGAAGATTCCCACACCTACTGATAATGCTGTGGTTCCCCAGTCATCCAAGGATCCTTGGATTCAGCAACAATACAGCTGGAACTTTTTACTCATTTGTTTCTCATCAAAGGACTTTTAAACTATCACACAGTTTTGAAGTCCCTCCCCTTGTTGTTGTTGAACACGTTCTATAAGGTTTGAAATGCATCAAGTTCTCTTTTACAAAGACTCAAAAGTGAAGTAAGACTCATGTTACGTGCCTTGTCCCTTTTGGCCACAAGATGGCCTCAGTGGCCTTTGTCTCGCCTGTCTCCTGGTGCCCAGCTGTTCCAAATCAGTGATGATCACTTGGCAGCAGTTAAAAGCTGCTCCCAGCCACCAGTTTAGTGAGAAGGTCCAGGGCTAGTGCAGACTCGGCTGAGTTTGCACTATTCTTCTTCTCCTCATTCGCTGTTCACTTGGTTGCTTGGCTTTGATATTTGACTCATTTTAACTTTTGGATTTAGAATTAGATCGTGTGATAGTTTGACTTCGGACTGGCATTTTGACCTGATTTAGGAGCTCCCCTTTGGTGTACAGTGATCCCTCGTTTATCGCGGTAGATGCGTTCCAGACCTGGCCGCGATAGGTGAAAATCTGCGAAGTAGGGACTCCTAGCATGCCACTCGCGGGGATTCCCTCCACGTCGTACCTACGTCACAAACCGCGTCTATAAATGGAAGTCGCCTTTCCAGCTCACCACTCAGTCATCGTTTCTTCAGATTCATGATCAGAGTTTCCAACCTACCGATCAATCCAACGAACTGTCAGCTCATAGTAAGTTATCTTACTTACTTCTGGAACGCCCGGCATTTCCGTGTCACTGCGTTGACGCTCGAACGCTCGGGGGTTTCCTAGATTAATCGTGAGCCGGCATTTCACCGACGCTATCACTTCCGCGTCTGTGAAACCACGCTCCCTACAAGCTCAACTCCCGAATCCAGCCGACCAGTCTGACATACAGTACTATATTGAATTATCGTATGATCACATTCTCTTTTTGTGGGTAAAACTCAAGAAAAAAAATTTTTTTACTTGGTTTTTATAGTTTTATTACAAAAAGTGCATTTTATGATGAAATTGATGAAAATAAACAGGAATTTCTTGACATTTCGCATAGAAAAATACCGCGAATCGGCGAATTTCCCTTGAATAAGGCTCCAAAAAAATCCGCGAAGTCGTGAATCTGCGATAAACGAACTGCGAAGTAGCGAGGGATCACTGTCCATATATATTTATTATTCTCGGTTTTCTTCCCACCCCCTTTTGGAGCGGCGCTTTTCGTTATCTCCCGTTTGAATATAGCTCATTTTGTTAGTATATAGTATTGGTTTTAGGTTCGTTGTAAATATTCCCTTCGTTTTTGTAATAAAATTCTTGGTTTTAAAGTGACACAACACTCTGATTATTATTTCACCCACACACTACTTTTATTACTCCCCTCCTCATCTCTCCTAGAGAGCCGGGGACGTAATACTCACGTTAAGCTGTGTTTGTGTAATCGGAAAAATCATCTTGATTGGAGGCTTGAGATTCTGCAGGCATTGCTCCAACACCTCTATCCTGAGAGCCATTGTTGAGATTTTCTCCTGGTGAAACTGATTCAGAAATGGTCAATGTGCAGTCGTGAAAATGCAGGACACTGTTACACTGAGCATGCACAAATGTGCGGGAGCAATTTGTTGTAAAATGAAAATAAATAAAAAAGAAGTAAACAATTAAGGAAATACCTGGAACTGGCTGTCTTGCATGTAGCTGACCACTCCAATAGTTGTTTTCTGTTCTTTAATGTGGTTCAATGCATTCACTGGCAGCCAAATCTCAGGGATAGATGACTCATTGTCAGGCAGCAACTAGCAATTCATGTAAACGGAAAACAACTCACAATCCTCATAATACCCTTTACTTGAAGTGTCATTGATAGGGAAGAGGATCATTAGTAAAAGTTCTAATGTATTCTCTTTGATGACACATGATTCTTTGAGAATAAAGGATAGATTGGAGCTAGGAATGAATTGAAAGATATCAGACGACACCTGAAAAGAAAATATGCTCTCAAGCCCACCGAGGCCTGAAACATGGAGGATGTTCAGAGGAAATTCATATTCAGAACACCAGAAATAACTGCTAAGAATGAGGAACTGTCCTACCCATACTGCCAACCAGACTAGAGCCCTGCACTGAAGCCCTAGGCCGACGGCCCTCGGGCCGGGCTTCAGGCCAACGACTGTATAATTACCTCGGACACGGGCCGGGCGCCTTTATTTTTAATCGAATTCATAAAAAAATTGAAACACTTAAACCAGGGGTCAGCAACCTGTTCCCATCAAAGAGCCATTATTACCCGTTTCCCACAGTAAAGAAAACACTGGGAGCCACAGCAGCCGCGGCGTTGTGGGCGGGGCCTACCCTCAGGCAGCAGAGCGCTGCTCACAACAGGTGACAGGAGCCAGTACCGGTCACTCGTGTACGTCAAAGTTATCTTTCATGAGACGATAATCAATAAAACGATTTATATAAAGTGGATCCAGAAGTTGTAGCCCGTCTCTGCCTACAATATTTTGATATTTTTCACCCTGTTGGTGGTTTTACTGAGCAGGTGCCACTTTTGTCATACGTTTCTTTTTAAAAGATGTTTAGACTGTTCAGAATACAAATCCAGGCTCTGTCACGTTTGATTGTTGTAATTAAACTTTGTAGGTGGGGAAGGTAAGAAAAGGATCTGATCATTTTGCTGTTCCCTCATTTACAGTGACGGAGATAATGGCGCAGCGCGCCTGGCTCTGGTGTTAATCAAGTTTAATTTTATCTCTTTTCACAAGAAAACAAAACAGTTAAAAGCAGGGCCTGTGTTGACCGGACAGTTCCCGTATTTGACCGTTTATTTTGAAGGAGAAAGAATAGAAATAATTACCCCGACGCATGCAGACGAACTGACATTTTATTCCACGCACATCGCAGATGTAGCTAAATCACTCAAGAAAAGATTCCCATCTGAACATCTGAGCTGGACACTGCTCAGAGCATCTCGCTGTCAGCGTGCACTACATAAGGTACACAGCGAGCTGAAGTTGTGGAGAGGGGCTTGGAGCGCGTTGCAGAACCAGAACGCATGCGGGAAGATTCACTGAATTCAGTCGGAGGAATCTTCCCGCTGATCTGAATCTGATGCGGCTCTCTGTGCTTGTAAAATAATGAATGGATATTTAAATAAAATGCTTTATATTTTACTGAATTAATTTTATATCTGTAAGTCAATTCTATGTAAAGATTGTCTGCGCAAACCTGAACAGGTCCAACCCGGTCTTACTGTGAGACCGGGTTGACGGGTCACGCTTGTGCGTAATCATGTGCGCTGTCTGAGCTGAAGAGGATGTGAGATTCTGGGCTTCTCCTCAGACGGCTCCTGGATGTGTCGCCACATTGGAGACAGGAACAAGCACTATTCAGCCAAAGTTTCATGATCAGGGAACATTTTCTAAGTGACAAGTCTCTCTGAGCGACAGGGTTTGGAAATCACTCGCTTCAGTGGGAGGAACCTTCCCGCATGCGCTCTGGTTCTGCAACGCGCTCCAAGCCAATCTCCACATCTTCAGCTCGCTGTGCACCGTACATACGCGCTGACAGTGAGCTGAGCTGAGCAGGGCCCAGCTCAGATGTTCAGATGGGAATCTTTTCTTGGGTGATTTAGCTACATCTGCGATGTGCGTAGAATAAAATGTCAGTTCGTCTGCATGCGTCGGGGTAATTCTTTCTATTCTTTCTCCGTCAAAATAAACGGTCAAATACGGGAACTATCCGGTCAACACAACACAAGCCCTGCTTTTAACTGTTCTGTTTTCTTGTGAAAATTGTTGGAAAGAGATAAAATTTAACTTGATTAACACCAGAGCCAGTGCGCCGTTATCTCCGTGACGGTAAATGAGGGAAAAACAAATTGATCGGATCCTGCACGTCTTTTAACACATTGGTCAGGATTGATCAGGATGAGGATTTGTTTTCATTTAGTTGGTTAAAAAAAAGTCAGGCTCGGGTCGGGCCAGACAATCCTGAAAACCTTTTCGGGCCGGGTCGGGCTGGGGCTCCACCCCCTCGGGCCGGGCCGGACACAGGCTCAGATTTTAGGCCCGTGCAGGGCTCTAAACCAGACACATATATTCTGTTATAAACATCTGGAGGCAGATTTTTGACGCTCTTAAAGATGTTTTCAAAGAGGACATTGCATCAATTCACACGGCAGCAGTATTGGGAGATACTTCTAACTGTACAGACTGCTAAGCTTAAAGATGCAGTGAGCAGGAGAGCTGGAGCGCTCAAATGAGTATAAATATGTAAAAGGTGCAGATAGCAAAAACTAACGTTTCAACACCTTATGTGTCTTCATTAAAGTTTCATCTGAAAAGTTAAGCAATTTGATTTAAAACAGGCGAGCCTAATGAGGAAACACTTTTCTCATTGAGTAAGATCTGCACAGTGGGAGGAGCTAATATTTAAAGCAAATTCATGCTATAAGCCACTGAAGCAGAATTAGGCCTAAATACAGTAGCGGTTTTAGGCACGGGCAGACAGGGCAGTTGCCCGGGGCGGCATTTTTTCATGACACAAAAGGGGCGCACAAGCGCGGAGTAAAAAAAAAAAAAAAAGGAAATCTGCGCCGCACCGAGGTTTTCTATTATCTGTCATATGACAGTGTCTGGATTGGAAACAGCAAGTTGGCGCCCCCTGCAGCTGCAGGCGCTCCTGCTGACTGAGAACGTTCACGTGCACCGTGTGTCTATGAAGAACAGGGAGGGGAGGGGTGCGGCGGGGGGAATTCACCTCTGCGTCTTTCCCAAATGAAATGAGCGTGCAGGGGCTGAATCAACTGTATTAACATGGCTAAAGTCAATCACATCTTAACGTTCTTCCATATTTCATTCATAATATCATAAACACAGGCCTATCATTCTTTCAGGTTTCTCTGAATTGTGTGAAATGGCCGAATAAAAAAAGGAAAAACAAAAACGATTTTGTGGTCACCCCCCATCAAGGTCAAATTGTTTAGTCCTGACTAAAGGAAACTTACTGAGTCAGGAGCCAAACAGAAGAGATGAACATAAAAAGGCTAAAACCACCAGGTGCCCCATTCAGGGGGAAAAAAAAAAGAAAAAAGAGGAGAAAGATAAAGGTATGTAGCTCTCATGATGCATGTTTTCAATTTTTTGAACCAGTTAACTGGGATTTTAACGGTTAAATGCGGTCACTTAATTGCTAACAGACCTAATAGGGCTGAAATATTGAAACGAATATTCAAATGGTTCGAAAAAAGTCCTTGAATCGTTTTTTACTGATTCAAACTAGGATTTGTTAAATGCTCACTGCAGCCTGTGGCCTGCCTGAACAACAACAAACACATGTTGATCATGTTCACATAATAATAAATAAAACAACTCTACAAGCAGAAGAAAACACCCCAGTCACCACTAACTATCCTGTTTATTTATTGCAGATGGCTGCACTGATTATTTTTTACATGATTTGTTCTGTAAAAGTTGGCTTTTTTGGTAGTCTACAGTTTTTTTATGTCAGTTTAAATTACAATTTCAGAGGCAATTCTAAAATATCATGGATCATGATAAAGATCTATTGGAGATCTACCCCAACTTTTGGACTGCTCTGCCAGTCACTGTGGCTCAAGCTGAGAGGAGCTTTTCAAAACTTGATCAAGTCATACCTGAGGTCAACTTTGTTTCAGGGGCGGCTCACTCACCTGGCTCTGATTAGTATCAATCACTCAGTAGGGGAGCAGATTTCATATGATGACATTATTGATGACATTGCATCAAGGTTAGGTTTTAATTTTAGTTTGTGTTTTCTGTTCTAAGTGCAATGCTGTAGTGATTAGTTTGTTATGTGTGAAATATCTTTGCTATTTAGAATATTTATTATCTATTATGTTCATATATTCTTAATATTTAGTTATTGTTTGTTTTTGTATATTTGATTCTATATATTTTGATACAGTATATAATGTATAGTGCTTTACATTCTGACAACTTCATAGTAATTAATGTAAATATGTGCAACTTAGAAAAATGAATGTTCAATAGTCGTTCTATAAAACATGCCTGTTTGTAGAAAACATGCATGTGTTCATGCAGGTGGGGTGGTGTGGTGGTGGTGGTGGTGGTGGGGGGGGGCGGTTGGGGGGGGGGGGGGTGCTCAAAGGGGGCCTCGCCCGGGGAGTAATTCGATGTAGAACCACCACTGCCTAAATAACAAAAAGTGCACAAAATAACAAATCTACACATTAGTGAAACCAGAAAATATAAAAAATATACATGATCTGATAATTACAGTGAGACTAAATCGTTGATATGAAATATACATTATGAATATTTTCCCAGCTTGCGTACCTGTGGAGCTTGTATCTGGACCATATCCTCTGTCAGCTCCGGACCAGCCCTGCTGAAGGTATAAACGTTGACCGACAAGGTCTTCAGGTTGTATGTCAGCGGGAAACCTTCCTCCAGCTGAGATGCTGCCATCATTTTATGGATGAGTGCTTGCTCCACGCTACAGAAAGAAAACAGCAATATCATGGAATCCCTACAGACTCAAGCCGGGCGTGCACTGTGCGACTTTTTCACTTTTTTGAGCCGATTTTCCACTCGTGCGAGAATCCACAAGATCGGGGTGAGTTTTGCGCTGAGCGTCGTGTAGTATACAGCAGAGCTTTGCACGGGCCTAAAATCTGAGCCAGTGTACGGCCCGACCCGAGGGGGTGGAGCCCCAGCCCAACCCGGTCCGAAAAGGTTTTCAGGATTCTCTGGCCCGACCCGAGCCTGACTTTTTTTTTAACCTTTCATAATGTTTTAGCGTGATAGAATGCTCAGTATTCTAACTATCTGTGAGAAGCGTTCTGCAGTAAAAAAAATAAAGAAAAAGAAAAACAGCATTTAATGCAGCTTTTTCTTCTAACAGCGTATTTTTCGAGCGGCAGATTAAATATACGAACAGTATATTAATTGGATGCGTTTGTAAATTTAATCTGCTCTGAAAATGCGCTCTTGTGCAATTAGAAAAAAAAGCAGCATTCTAATGTTCTAACTGCAGAGCGGCAGATTAAATACCATAAATCCTCTAATACAGGCCCGGGCCTGTATTTGACTCAAGCTCATCAAGCTCCAGGCCTTTATTGGAAGGAGGGCCAGTATTAGAGGCAGGCCTCTATTTCTATTTGAGCAAAATGAACTAATGGTTCGCTGGAGTTTTTGACAATTAAAATTGCGCCCACATTTTCAAAGTTAAACACATTTCTTTTAACAACGGTAGTTCCTGCTTCAGCCCTCTCCCCCCTCCCCCTGCGCAGCGGCCGCAAACTCACTGATGCGCCTGCAGCCTCTCGGAGTTCCTGCTGCTCTAAACATTAAAATAATTATTTCATTTTCTGTTTCTCACTTCTGATTACCTTCAATGGTGTCTGTTTGTTGCAACCACCAGGTACAAAAACTAACTTGTTTTTATTTGACTATTTTTCTGTCCTGTCTGTTTATTATCTTCCTGCATCTCCTCTCAATCCTAAAGAAAAACTGCTACCTGGGTTCATATATATTCACCTCATGAGTTACCTTTGAACTGCAGTTCTAAAAGATCTACCGACCGCAAAAACAGCGGAGCGCTTGCTGTTTGGCGGCTGTATCAGTGATCAGTGCGTCAGAGGACAAGGTGATGCGCGCAGCGTCCCGCTCCACAGCATGCAGCGAAACACATCAGGCGCAAATAAAAGACAGAAAACATTAAAGGAAATGAACTGACATGAACGATCGCGTGTTAAATTAGTTTTTGAGGTGGCGACACCTGATTGTTACTGTGGCCGTGCTCAGGAGGCAGATCTACCGACCGCGAAAACAGCTGAGCGCTCCCTGCTGTGATCTGTGCGTCGGAGGACAAGTTGATGCGCCCCGCTCCACAGCAGCGATACACATCAGGCGCAAATAAAAGACAGAAAACATTAAAGGAAATTAACCGACATGAACGATCGCGTGTCAGTACCTACGGTCTGGCACTTGAGTTTTACCCCCAAAAAGAGAATGTGATCATACGATAATTCAATAGGGAGCGTGGTTTCACAGACGCGGAAGTGATAGCGTCGGTGCTCTAGGAAACCCCCGAGCGTTCGAGCGTCAACGAAGTGACACGGAAATGCCGGGCTTTCCAGAAGTAAGTAAGATAACTTACTATGAGCTGATAGTTCGTTGGATTGATCGATAGGTTGGAAACTCTGATCGTGAATCTGAAGAAACGATGACTGAGTGGTGAGCTGGAAAGGCGACTTCCGTTTATAGCCGCGGTTTGTGACGTAGGTGCGACGTGAAGGGAATCCCCGCGAGGGGCATGCTGGGAGTCCCTACTTCGCGGATTTTCACCTATCGCGGCCAGGTCTGGAACGCATCTACCGCGGAGGGATTGCTGTAGTTCATACACCCCCTACTGCTGCTCCCCAGAGTGTTCTGCAGCATAATCAGCACGTTCTCTTTGAACTTGATAGTGTAATGACCTGGCTGGGGTTGTAAGCCAGGTGCATTCTGGGTATTGTGTTATATGTGTTTCCTATCGTTCTGCTAGTTCCTATGTGCTGATTTGCGTGTTGTGTGAGTGTTATGTAAGCCACAGGGAAGGTGATGTGTGTTCTGTGGAGCGGGTTGAATTAGCATGGTTAACTGACACCCTGACTCTGTGTGGTAGGAGCGTGATAGAGGATCGTGTCTGTAGCGTTACAAAGCGTTGAAGAAAAAGCTCAAAAAAGGTCTGTGTGAACCTCTACTGCTTCCTGCTGGTTGATTTGGGGGCTATAACCCTGCCGCTGGGACGCTCGTACTTACTTGTTACCACATGCCATCCGGCCACAATAAAAGACCGGCCATTATTTACCTCCGCTGGCTCAGACACCGGCCAGAATTGGAGACCCGGCCTTTAATTGAATACCGGCCTGTATTAGAGGATTTACGGTAAACACCCCCAATTAATATAGTGTTTGTAAATTTAATCTGCCGTTCTGAAAATGTGCTCTCCAGTTAGAACAAAAAGCAGCAATGAATGCTGTATTTTTTTTAACTGCAGAGCTAATCTATTCACAGAAAAATAGAATGCTGCCGTTTTCATGAGAATAAACCAATGGTTTCTGACATCAAAGTGGACATAAAATGGCATATTAAAATAGGGGCACACGTTTCAATCAGCAGTTTGAGAATTCGTTTATATAGGTGCATTTATAAACCACACACACCTTAACTGAGCTAACGGGTGCGTGAGAAGCAGGCAGGTGCTACTGCATTCAAGTGTTTCAGTTTTTTTAATGAATTCAATTAAAAATAAAGGTGCCCGGCCTGTGTCCGAGGTAATTACACAGTCGTTGGCCCGAAGCCCGGCACCCGGGCCGTCGGGCCGGGCCGGGCCCACCTGAGGGCCTAGGGCTTCAGTGCAGGGCTCTAGTAAACAGAAGGTTGTGAGAGGCGATTAACACCACGTGACCAGCTACCGATAAGCAATCGTGAGCTCGCATGGACTTCTGGCGTGTTTGATATTTTGCTCGTCCCTCGTGAGGGTATCACACTGCTGAAGCAGCGCTGCGAGCAGCTGTGTCCCAAAAAATATCAGAACCGCTCACGGCGCATGTGCATTCATGCATCAACACCGCCCGCCCGCTGTTTCCCTAATAACACACGTTCATTTTTATTTCTACACGATTTTTTAATCACAAGAAAGCGTGTTTGTCATGTTCTTGTCAAATTAAACTGATCACAAAACACAGATTTACTTTCTTTATTTCGTTTTCCTCATCCAACCCCATAAATCCCTGTGTGTCCTCCTGCAGCACTCCCAAAGGACAACAGGCAAGACAAAAAAGTCTGACGTGTTGAGTAAAAACGGCTATTTTTAGCATAATTTTAGAGCCGACGTGTTGCTTCCAGACGTACAGTGTGAGCAGTCAGGTCGCATCCGAGAACTGGGTCGTGCAGTGTGAGCGCATGACTCGTGAGATCTGCCCTGCGAGGAAGTCGTACAGTTTGAGCTGAAGCTGAGTGCTATGAGTGAAAAAGTCGCACAGTGTCCGCCCAGCTTTACAGCACTCCAGAGCAGGGATTCCTAAAGTGTGGTGCACGCACCCCCGGGGGTGCGCGAGCTGCCGCTGGGGGTGCGCGAGGTGAAAAGTGTAATGGCTGCGGAGCTCAGAGAAGTCTGTCATGTGTCACCATTAGCGTAGCCAGAAACTCACTTGTGGGTGGGCCTTTGAAAAAGTAAGTGGGCCCAATAAATGTAATTGAAAACAAGTATATTTTTGCACGCACGTCCTCCACATGTGCCCTAGCTTCATAATAACAATGCGCCGAGCTTCATCACTCTGGCCTGCGCACGCCGATATGTTCCGTATTTGATCATTTTTAACGGTGTTGGAGGAACCTGAAGGTGGTGAGTCATTCTGGCAGATTGTAATTAACACCTGTCTCATGCAGGTGTTCTGACACTGTAAACCTCACACACAGAACATTGTGGATGTAACAAAATAAATCAAGAAATGATTCCCATTCAGACTATTAACAGCGCGCTGAAGATCTGAAGTTCAGAGTGCGTCTGTCAGCGGTCAGACGCGTTCCAGCGGAACCACGGCTCACGGGTGCACATGTGAGCACATCTGGGCTGGGCAGAAGGAATTTTACAACATTGGTTTAAATAGCGCCAATAACGAGACGCAGTGACGTGAGCGGCTCATGGAGCTGTGCCGCACGTATGCGCACACACACACACACACACACACACACACACAAACACACACACACAGATTCAATAAGCGCGCACGCTGCGCAAACTCCGGCGCGCCGTCAGACTGAAGACAGAAATGAGCGCTGCCTCTGTGATAAAAACTTTTAAGAGGTTTTATAACATTTTTCATTCAAGGTCAAATTAAGATATTAGCTTCTGGGATGAGTCGGGTCCGCTCCAGCCAGTGACTCCTCATGAACCTGACCACAACTCATGTTACTGCAGCATTTGTTATTCCAGTCCGCGTGGCAGCGGATCGCAGATTCAGCCTCACCATAAAACAGCAATAAGTCGGTCTGAGGCAAAAGTGAACCTCATGGCTATATCTTTTCCATCTTTTCCCCTATAGACATTTGATTACGCACAAGTAGGTGACCAGTTCAGGTTTACGCAGAGCAGAAGGAAGGAGAGAGCTCTGGCCGCACAGGTTAAACGTTCCTACTTTAAGAAAACCGTTTAATTGCATTGTTTATGTGCTACCTGGCCACTTCAAATATTTATCTAAAATTAAATTAAAGGAAATTGTAATGGTATTAAATGTTTATTAATTACTATTTAAAAAATGAAAGTGATGGGGAAAAAGGTCGATCATATTTTTTAACCCTGTCTGTTTAGCTTGACGTCTGATATACATGTACATATATACACACACATATGTGTATATATATATATATATATATATATATATATATATATATATAGAGAGAGAGAGAGAGAGAGAGAGAGAGAGAGAGAGATATATATATATATATATATATATATATAGCCATGCCCTGATGTGGGGGCTGGGGGGTGCGTCGACATGGTCGGGACATAGAAGGGGTTGCGCGGCTAAATAAGTTTGGGAACCACTGCTCTAGAGGACATCCTGGGCTTTCAGTGATGCATCATTTGTTATGTTCACATACTGGGAAGTGTCCTTTTCTCCTGAGTCAATATGGCCGGCTTACCAACAACATTTTAGGGAAAGACAATTTTCATCTTTTGCTATTTTTACCAAAATAATCATTCTTATTCTTGTTAATTAACATGTAAATAACAATATGTTTGCTTCAAAAACTTTTAAATTATGTTTCTTTTGATACACTTGGACCATTTTAGTGTATTGGTGTGCAGACTAGAAGCCATGCACATGGTGGTAGACATCAAGCATGCATAAAGATGCAGAAAGAAGGGCTGCAGTGGCAAAACACACGAGGTGTATCGCATCACTAAAGCGAAAACACACTTCAAGGATTTTCATCCCTAAATTACAAAAATGAAGAACTACAGTTCACTTTTGGGCTAGTCCAGTCTTATGGCTCATTTTTCAACTGAGTTCACGACTTGGTATCAATCCAAGTATCAAGCAACAGAGGACCAAGAATGGTGAATTTTGATTAAATTAATTATGTTCTTCATCAGATTTAATTTTTGATAATTGTAATTAGGTGAAATTTGTCCTCTACAATGGGCATGCTGTAAAATAAAAAAATGGTAAGTTGTTCATTTTTGGTATAAATTGACAGGAAATCAGACAAAAAAAAAAAGAAAATTTAAGGCACTTTGTCAGGAGGATAAGTAGTAAACACACACACACACACACACACACACACACACACACACACACACACACACACACACACACACACACAGTAGTTTCTTTACCGCAAGAATTAAACTTACCCAATAAAAGTCTTTTTGACTTCCTGGCTGGTCCTGAAGAGATCTTGACATGAACTACGTACATACTGGAGTGTTATTACTTCCTTCTCAAGACAGTCAGGACAATTCAATGTGTTCAATAATGGCACGATGGAAGTATTACTACATACAACTTGATCACAATGGGTGTCTGTGGAGTAAGGAAACATTTAGATAAAATGAGATGTAAAGAGAAAAATAGGTCTTAAAAGGAAAGAGCACGGGGGTGAATGAGCCCTAACCCTAATGCACACAGTAGCAGGTTTGTTCATGTGTCTAATCTACTCCAAACAAAGGTGCGTCTCTATATAAGTAATCTAGCAAACAAATGAGACTATGAGCACCGGAGTATAAGTTCTCTGGAGCTCTGGCCCATTAACTCTGGTAAGTTTCAAGCGTTACAAGTTTTTCTGACAACAGGAATCTTTTTATGTAACTTTTACAACCAATCATGGTTGTTTCCTGACTTTTATGAACAAACTCTCTAAACATGTGATTTTCAAACCTTTTATAAGTAGCACTCAAGAAAACTTTAAGCGTTACAAGTCCTAAGTATTATGCCAGACATTGGACAACAGTAGAAAGTAAATAATATTTAAGCTTGTATTCAGGCCTGATGGAAATGCAGGCCTAAATGGCAGTTGTGACACTTAATACTGATCACACACACACACACACACACACACACACAGCAGTTTTAGCTTTTTTCTGCCCCAAAATATAACAAATCAAGATAAAATTGGTCTGACTCAAGTCAAACCTACTCAGAGGACTTACTCACATTTAGCTATGACAAAAAGAGGGATGGGGCTTTCATCATTAACAACAGAATAATCTAAACAAGCAAATGATCCATTGAACCAGGTTTCATTGCTGGGTCTACATCGGAACAGGCATGGGACTCCGTCGGTTTGGCACTTTGTTGGGTGAATCCCTTCTTCAACAATGCTCAAATTAGTCAGAGCGATGGTGAGGCTGTGGTTGGAAATGTTGATGCACACTACAAGCAGAAGAAACTCATAAGTCAGAAAACGCTAACATGTAGTACAAAATGTTTTATTTTACCTTTTACTTCATAAAAATGTGTGTGTGTGTGTGTGTGTGTGTGTGTGTGTGTGTGTGTGTGTGTGTGTGTGTGTGTGTGTGTGTGTGTGTGTGTGTGTGTGTGTGTGTAAACAGATGCATTAAAACGTTTTTGTTCCTTAATAAACAAAAATGCTTCATACCTTGGTCAGCCAGGGAATGATCCATCAGCAGCAACACCAGTACCAGAACCATACTTTCCCCCCTGAACGTATGAAATGGGCTTTTGAATTGGATAACTTTGATTTGTTTTGATAACTTGTGTTATTCACTCTCTGAATATTTTTTGTTACTTTTAAAATAGTTAAAAATGTTATAGAGTGCAGTAAATAGAAGTTTTGTTTCACTGTTCAAATTGTGAAAATAAAGATTTAAGCTTGGAACTGAAACCTCCAACTTCTCCACATAATAAACGACCAGATTTAACAGATTTAGTTTCAAATATTACATATGATTCATTCTCACAAGCTCCAGTTGAAAAGAAAATAGAAACTAATTCCCAGGACTTCTAATAACTGTATGTAAAAAAGCTTAACATGCAAAAATAAAAACACCATTTTCACCACAGAAAGGTTCAACCACACTAGGAAATAGATGATTAAAAACTTACATTGATTACACAGAAAAATACTTTCCTCTGGAGCAAACAGGATGGAGCAAACCTCAGCTGTGAGTGAAGCACCTGAGCTCCTAGTTTGACTCAACACATGGGGATATTTGTTTAATGCAAATAGAATGCAAATGAAACTCCATGAATGTTTCCTTTCCCTGCAGCTCTATCTAAACGGTCACGTCAATGACAGTAATGTCATGTTGTAGACAGCAGTAGGAACTGAAGACTCTAGCTGTCATCCTTCAGGTTTTTGCCACGTGTATCACGGATTAAAGTCAACTGTGTGAGCCAAACTACCAGAACACTTCATCACATCTGGGGATTAGCACATTGCATCAAACAGGGAAACGTGTTTAATGATTAACTAAAGCTGGATGAGATATGAACAGACTCCTCAGTAAAATCAAACAGTGGTCCATTATTAAGGATTCCTAATCAAACAAACTCTAACATGTGAAAGGTAAAGGAAACATTTAGACTCTCATAAACCAACTTTATTTAACTTGGCCATGCATCATGCTGACCTTTGTAGCTACTGCAGTGTGGATTATTAATCCTAACAGAGTATGTGTTACATCAGTTCCATTGGGTTTTTCAACTTTAGTTGGTCCTGAGCAACTGAAATAAAGTCTATTCTATTTTATTCTAGTGGTTGATAAAAATCTGTATTTTGTGCCAGAAAACCCTCTCTGTCTCTGAATACAAGCTATCTTTATGCTGCACCATTTGTCTAATTTTACTGCCATTGATTCCAAAAATGTATCTAGCACTATTTTAGTTTTTCATTTAACCCTCTGGAGGCAGGCGTTGCCGATTTGCAACATTAAAACCTACCTACCTGGTTACTCCACACACGTATTTTATGAGCATTTTTTAACCCAGAAGTACCCCTGAAGGACTTAGTTGTCCGCCCCTTTATCAAAACTTATTTTGAGCCTGAGAGGGTTAATATCCACTCCTGTAGCTACCTGCATGAGGAACAGGAGTTGTTCATCATGTGTATTTTAATTTAATTCAGTTCAGTTAATTTAAAAAGAGCCAAGTCGCAAAAGAGTGCACTGATTTTGCCAGTTACTGTAATTCTCTGTATTTGACTCAAGCTCATCAAGCTCCAGGCCTTTATTGGAAGGAGGGCCAGAATTAGAGGCAGGCCTCAATTTCTATTTGAGTTCGGTTGGTTCGCTGGAATTTTTGACAATTAAAATTGCGCCCACATTTTCAAAGTTAAACACATTTCTTTTAACAACGGTAGTTTCTGCTTCAGCCCTCTCCCCCTCCCCCTGCACAGTGGCCACAAACTCACTGATGCGCCTGCAGCCTCTCGGAGTTCCTGCTGCTCTAAACATTAAAATAATTATTTCATTTTCTGTTCCTCACTTCTGATTACCTTCAATGATGTCTGTTTGTTGCAACCACCAGGTATAAAAACTAACTTGTTTTTATTTGACTATTTTTCTGTCCTGTCTGTTTATTATCTTCCTGCATCTCCTCTCAATCCTAAAGAGAAACTGCTACCTGGGTTCATATATATTCACCTTATGAGTTACCTTTGAACTGCAGTTCTAAAAGATCCACCGACCGCAAAAACAGCGGAGTGCACTCTGCGCGCCGGCCCACCGGTGAGGTGCGTCACCGGAGGACAAGGTGATGCGCCCCGCTCCACAGCAGCGAAACACATCAGGCACAAATAAAAGAACAAAAGACAGAAAACATAAAAGGAAATGAGCCGACATAAACGATTGCGTGTTAAATTAGTTTGTGAGGTGGTGACACCTAATTTGATAATGTTATCGTGGCCATGCTCAGGACGCAGATGTCTGGAGCGTGTCAACAATCAGAGCTTTGCATGCGCAAGCTGGTTAAGGTTAGGATGGGGTGAGGGGAAGGTTAAATTGCAAGAGGGTAAACGTCACAATTTGGTTAAATGTCCGTTTTACGGCGGATGTCAGTACCGATGCTCTGGCACAGCGCGTTGGCTCCCGACACGCAGGAGCTTGTCACCTGCTGACATCAGGCTGCTGTCTTTTCCGAGGACTGCATTTTGCCGGTCATTATCACGTGACAGCGACTAGTCGATGACAGGCATAAAAAGTCACTATAGAGCAGTGAAGTCCACTAGTCGACTAGTTCATACAACCCCTACTACTCCCCCAGAGTGTTCTGCAGCATAATCAGCACGTTCTCTTTGAACTTGATATCAAATTTTCGCCTCCTCTTCGTCTCCGCATGGTTAAAGTTACCCTCGCGGTCTATCACTGGCAAATCAAAAGTGAGACGGATGACACAAATTTTATTTATTTATTTACTTTTTTTTACCGTGTCCTGTCTGGCTGTGAAGCAAACAGAATTTATGTCTGAATGCTGGTAACAAGCCTTACAGATTTACTCTCAAGTGGAGCATCAAAGTGTCTGCTTTTAATGTCACGCCTGATACTTAAAACTTTATTGTTATTGTTTTTGAATGCTTTGTAATTCTGACCAAACACGGAGTCAGAGGTGAAAGAGAAAGGAAAAGACAAAAGGTGGGGAGAGAGGGGGGAAGGGGGTGGGGGGGGTTCCACAAAAATAAACAATAATGAACAAGAATCTACTCCTAGATCTGCAGAAAGAGACAGGGAAAAAAAGCAAAAAAAAAAAAAAAGGGACACAACAACAATACAACAAGATCAAGCTATCACTGCGTCAACTTGATGAAGAAATATATAATCAACATTGTTTCACTGAACAGTCAAACGATAATAAATCACAGTGCATTAAGTGCCCACCATAGTCTTAAGACAAGTGTTGAATGTGCCCAAGCCCATACTTTGAGAGCTCCATGTGAGCACCTGTGTGTGTACACGTGCTTGTTTATGTAAGGTTTCTCTATAGGAGCGTCCAATAGAGAGTGTGAGGGACCACAGATCTGCCCCCCAAAGATGCGCAGGAGACGGGGGGAGCTCCAAGTCCCAGAGATCCAGGCGCTGCCCCAGAACACAGGAACCCCAAGGAGACTGCAACCAGAAAGGCCCTCGCCCCCCTCGAGAGGCACAGAGGATCGCCCCGGGGGGCCACAACCAGCAGCCGGCAGAGTCCCGGGAGATATCAGCGGCAAGCCCACAGGCCCGCCCGCAGCCTCCCACCCCCTAGCCGGCCGAGCCCGGGACCCAGCGATCCAGGACCCAGGGGCGACCACCCCCGCCGGGGACCCAGCAGAGCCCAGGGACCCAGACCCCACCAGGCAGCCACCGGGATTGATCAGGCAGACGACAAAAATCTTAAACCCCCTGACCCGGGAGCCACGAACACTCAGGCCGACCAAGGCACAACACTCCACACCAGGTGTGGCAGGGGGAGGGGAGATGAAGATCTACATCATCAAAAGAAGTCCCAGGAGAAGAGAGGAGTCAAAGGCCCCACCTGACATATACAGTCATACACAAACACAGTCACACACTCCCTCCCTCATACTCACACATGCACATACAACCAAAGACTTACAAAAATGCACGCCGGACACCCACTCATGCTCCCCATACACACCCTATTCACTCTGGTCCCGGTACTGCTGCACATGGGGCAGAGGCGGAGCTGGCCTAAATGGCGCCCTGTGCGAGATCCCCAGTGACGCCCCCCCCCCCCCCCCCCCCCCCCCACACACACACACACACACAAGAAAAAAAAATTACACCTACAACTTTGTTTCAAATGGCGTGGAGTGTATTATATATAACAAAGTTTGCTAACTGAATACAACATCCAGCTCCTGGCCACCTTCTCACCACTTGTCAAAGTTCTACTGAAATAGTGATGATGACAACACCTGCCATCGCCTTCATTCCTGGGAAATAGGGCTGCAACAACGAATCGATAAATTCGATGAAAATCGATTACTAAAAGCGTTGGCAACGAATTGCGTCATCGATTCGTTGTGTCGCACAACTCTTCCAAAAGCGCCCCCCCCCCCCCCCCCCTTCCCGCCCGCCGTTGCGCGCAGACCAGAGCAAGTCAGATCAGCGCGAGGGAGAGCCGCAGATCAGCGTGAGGGAGAGCCGCAGATCAGCGCGAGGGAGAGCCGCAGATCAGCGCGAGGGAGAGCCGGTACCGGCAGATCAGCGCGAGGGAGAGCCGCAGATCAGCGCAAGGGAGAGCCGCAGATCAGCGCGAGGGAGAGCCGCAGATCAGCGCGAGGGAGAGCCGGTACCGGCAGATCAGCGCGAGGGAGAGCCGCAGATCAGCGTGAGGGAGAGCCGGCAGACTTGCGCTGCTGCGAACCGGTTCCGCATTGTCGCGCAGCGATCCAGGCAGCTGCTTCCAGCGCACGGTCCATTCTCAAAGTGGCGCAACCAAAAAACTATAATTAGCACACGATCGTTCATGTCCGCACATGTTCTCTATTTTCTGTCTTATTTGTGCCTGAAGCTCGCTACTGCGGAGCTCATCACCTGTGCTGTGGTGATGTCACCTCACGCAGCATCGAAAACGCGCTCTGCGCTTTTCGGTCAGGAGATCCCTTTGATCTGCTCAAAAGTAACTGATGAGGTGAAAAGGTAAGAATCCAGGCAACAGATTTTCTGGAGAATTAAGAGGAGATGCAGGAAGATGAGAGACAGACAGGACAGGAAAATAGTTAAATAAAAACAAGAAAACAAAACAAAGTGTTGAAAAGTCAAATGTAGGTAGATTTATCTCCACGACACGTTTTTACCAGTAAAAAACAATAAGTTATACACATGTCATATTTATACATCTGATACAATTCAGATCACCTTCAAAACTCAGTCACACACCCAGGGCCGTTTCAAGACATTTTGGGGGCCAAGGCAAAATGCCCCCCCCCCCCCCCCCATAACTGGGCTCCCCAGAAGCCTCTGTGTAATTCATGCCCTCTCCAGTAGTGTTAATTATATGGTGTTTATAAAAGCCCCTCAGACATTACTGACATGTTCTAATATTATCAGATGAAAAACTAAATGATCAGACATGCTGTCTCATCAGCTGCTTTTCTAAACTTGCAAAAAGTAACAAAACCATTTGAAAGCCACTATTTGTGGATTCTCTGAAAGTTTATATGGAGTGTGGGACAACTTATTTTTTCATTGATCCTATCGTCTAATCTCACAGCTGAAACAAGCATCCTTAATAATCTGTGCACAGGAAGCTTACCAATGCTGTAGTAATACAAAAGGTATAATAATTAGGGCTGCAGCTATCGAATATTTTTGTAATCGAGTACTCTATCGAATATTTTTTTCGATTAAT